AAGGTGTGTGGTTTCTGCAAGATATACTTGAAATCTAAATTGAGATGCCAAAATCTGCTACAACCAGCAAACGCGATTATCAAAAACAGACTACGTTCAGTCTGTTTCGTTCAGTACATCAAGGAACCACTCTGGGTCAAAAAAATAAAAATGCACATCAGTGAAAAATCAAATATGAGGCAGAACAGGCCAGGTAGAGCTTATGTATGAGTGTAAACGCATAGCAGTTAAAGTGCCAAAGAATGTCTTTATTCAATGAACCGCTTTCATTGTTAAGCAATGCGTCGGAATGTATTCTGTTTTCCCTCTCGTCTTCGCCCTAGACGTTCGACTTAGCCAACTTTTGTCCATTACTACCTCTATTAAGTCGAATTAATGCTCTTTGAAAGAAACAATAAATATCCGAAATTAAAAGATTACTAGCGCTCTTCAACATATGCCTTCCTTGCTGAATATAGAGAAATTGGACTCCGCGCAGAGCTCTGTGTAGAAATTTTCTTAAATGACATCAATTCTGCATGAAAGAAACGATAAATATGGCAAAATCCAGCTATCTCCGAATGTTTTTAATATATGACTTTAAAAGCGCGGTGTGTCAAAAACCAATCCGTCACACGGCCTGGTTGATCCAATCGAAGACACCTCTGAGCTGACGGGCTTTCTCCAGATTAAAGCGCTTCATGCCGCGAATTTCAATATGGCTCATCAGCTCGCTATCACGACCGAGATTTATGTCGGTGTTGGACCCAAGACGCATTAGTCCAAAACCTTCCTGGTCATCAGACGTCCAGTCGTGGTCACACGTGGTCCAGCATGCAACCCATCATGGTCAATATGGCCATGATCTCGTATTAAACCGGGCTGCGACGTGCGAGGCATACAGCTGTTTTGACTATGCTGTTCCACGTCGCACCGCCGACGATACCATGCGATACTTTTAAGTTAATTGTCCCGTATGAAAAATAGATTTTCAATACGAAAATGTACAGGGAGTAGTTTTATTCAAAGAATGTGGAAGTTTCGTTTCATTTCAACACAGATGAATTATCGTTTACATGGAAATAGATAAAAATAATTCGTGAGATCAGTGTTTGAGGTAATATTCAAATGTGTCACATTTTAAGCCTCTTAATCAAAACGTCAACGCAAAGGATTATGAGCCAGGATTATTTCTGAAAAATAATTACAGGTGATGTGAAATTTATATGTATTAAAATTATGTGACTGGAACTCACTGGAAATCAGTGACGACACCTGATGTTCTAAAAAGGCTAAACATGTCCAGCCCTATCGGTAGTTTATTCTTGTAGTAGGTGAAAATGTAAGTGAAAAATATAATAATATATACAACGGACCAGAGGTATTCAGGGAGCAACGATCAGAGAATGTGAAGTCCTACCTGATTATTATAGTGTTAATTTATATTTGATTACACTGTAAATTAATTATAATCATGACTATAAACATCAGTTTGGTTTGAATGCCAGATTCGTTCCCTTGCCGATCTTCTGGTAGCCAGTTGCATTATTTGTGTTTTCAACGAATCGATAAAGGAGAATGGTACAGTGAAATGTGTACAAACCTGAAAATAATTGTTATAAGGATTATTAGACAAAAGCTTAACCTCTGAATAACATATAATTTGGCTTAACTTGTATAAACTGGAAAGGAGCCCCAGTGAGATGGGTGATTCCGAACCAGGGGAGAACCAAGACTGCCTTTGCATCGCAGTAATGGTTGAAGTGAGGTGGAAATAATACGGGTCGGGTTGAGACAGAATCAAGCATTACATATCACCTTTAAACACCGAATGGTGTTTATTTACTTTAGTATCACGTGCCAGACATGTAATGTGTTCACAGATTAGGAAAAGTACCTGTAATGGTTAATGTCCTGGAAGAAACGACAGCGAGTGTCCAGAAAGGGTATGAACCTTATGAAACCTGGCTGACTGACTGACTGAGTTTGGTTTTACGCCGCTTTTAGCAATATTCCAGCAACATCACGGCGGGGGACCCAGAAATGGGCTTCACACATTGTACCCATGTGGGGATTCGAACCCGGGTCTTCGGCGTGACGAGCCAACGCTTTAACCACTAGGCTACCCCACCGCCCTTATGAAACCTGGATGAGTCTTAAAGACGTGTATCATGTTCTGTAAGTCTGTCCATTTTTCGTCTCTTCAAAAACATGTGCCATTCTGTTAAATTGCCGAAATAACCTTCAGTTCAATATGGTACTATAACAGCAGTATAATATTTTGGCATAGTGCTGCGTATTCCAGAAAAATACTAGCTAAACGTGAGTAAGAACTTAAAAAAACGTCGCATCGTCATTTTGTTCAGCCACTTGCTAAGAACACATTGTTAGCATACCAACAACGTTGCCACATGTCATTCAAATGTATATTTAAATTAATACTATGTACCTAAACACTGAAATACGTTTGCTCTCTCGATATAACGCCATGCATCACGTCACTTTCTGACTGCAAATGACACTGTCATAAAACAGAAATACGGTCACAATTGACGGCGCCGACTCGCTGTCATAATCTATAAACCACTTATTATTTTCAGTGTATATATTGAAAAACGTGCGGTAGGTACAATAATAATGGACTGGTCGTAACGTTAAGCACCTGTTGGACAGGCCACCGTTGAGAGGGCCACCATCCATAACGTATATGGTAAAACACGATTTACATAAACTGTTCCGGGTGAGAGGTTGGTGCTTTTATTGCTCTAGAGAGATCACACGATAGACTGAGGAATTTGTTGGATGCATCCTTTACGATCGACTCGGTATGCTTGTAGACGATGTTATACACAGGTATATGTATTAGAAAACAGCCAATGTTCATACATGTATGCAGACAGTCGATGGTCACTTTTATCCATATTTTGCTCTTTTGGTAAATATACATAGTAAAGGACTGGTAGATAAGAAAGGACTGATAAACGAAAATATACACTTGAAAAGTTGGCTAAACCATTGCAAATGATATTGATTAACTACTTTACAAGAATGAAAACAATGCAAATTTGAGGTCTAAAACGCTGCTATTACACACGTCGAACATATCACAATGGAATTATCATTTCTCGTCTATTTCATTTCCAGTCACGATCAAACATAGGTATATACTTTCCTCTGCGGAAGGTTATTTGACATTAGGAATATACACAATAAATACATGAATGAATGAAAATTTAATCTGTTTTATTAAATAAAGATATACAGTACGATGCGTTTCCACCATGATGCATATACATAACGATGGGATGTAATATATCAATCCGTTACAGTAAATTTTTCAATTAGTCCCATTTTAGAAAAAAAAAATTCTGCTGCGGATCCATACGTGAACTTCGTCCACAATCCACAGGCAATGAATAATCCTTTGTAAAGAATCAAGACAACGCAAGTTTTACATTGTATCCGAACTGATGCAGGTGATTCCGAACCCAAATCTTCGAACAATAGCAATTTATTACCAGAGAAACCATCAAACTGCAGTAAAATCATACTTATTGTCCTCCCGTAAATGCAGAAAATATTCAGCAGTCTCGGGGGACGTCTCTAGTTATTACCTTCTTTACAAATTCTTCTCCTACTTTCTGACAGACTCAAAGAAAATCCCATAAATCGAATTAATTTCTGCTACATGTTTTGGTCACTATGAAATGATCTGGGCTATACTGTCTGCTATATTTATTTTTAGTCGGTGTTGGGCCTGCGACCACTGATTCTACTTCTTTGAATAACAATACAAGTCCATATAAATCTTCAAAGGCTTTGAAGTGCATGAATACATCTCTCAGTGCTACTTCACCCCCCTCGCGCTTATAACAATGCGCACTAATTTATTGCCAGTGTACCGGGCGGGGGAAAATAGTCCAAGAATGAATTTCAAAGAGGACACCCATGGCCCACACGACATCATCTGCGTCCGAAAGGCAGCCATTGTTTACCTCTAACATCCATATTTCATTCTTTTTTATCTTAGTTAACATAAATCTTGTTTCTGGTCACCGGCTGACCAGTGTCCACTCACGGGATCATGTGCAACCATCCTATCAGGCCCTGGTGTGGTTTACACATGATGGTCAATCTTTGTCTGGTACGGCAAGCAGGTGGTATGGATTGCAGAGCAAACCGTCAATGTAGGGGGTCGGTCAATAATAGCCTGCAGCGGTCACAGGAATGCCAGGGAAAGTTAATTGAAAATGAAAACAAACAATGAAATATACATGGCAAGCATCAATGTAATTGCGGGTAATTAGGAGTGCATGCTTTAAGGACATGCCCGTTATATGAGGCATATTAAATTTCAAAAAATGATCATTGGCTGTTAATGTCGGAATTGATACCTATATGATGTGTTGTCTTGTTGTGTTGTATTCGCGTTGTCCTACCCTTTATATGATCATGTCTTTACAATCGACTCTGCTTTCAGGAGGGATTTCTTATGGATGTGGAAATTGTTTTGTCGTTTCTGTTTGAGAAGGATTTTACTGATATATCAAATTATAAGCGGTTACGAAACATGTTCATAGAACTTTCGATTACTTATATATTACTGCCTGAAAATGGTGAGGGCAAGATTTATGCATACCTAATTCCCTTTCTAACCATTTAAAAATATTTATATCAATAGAATTGTTTTTAATTAACAATGCTTGTAATTGTGTCTTAAACGGCAATCATCGTATATCAGGAAGAAATGCATATGTCACTTAATGCGTAAGTGATGACGCCATGATTGATAATACGTGCTAATTAGCGCTTACGTTTGAAATACATGTCAAGTTTTTCGGTGTATTCAAAATTTGTATGTTATGTAAAATTACTTCACTAAATATACAGTAACAGTTGTACGAAGGTGAATAAATGTGAATAACTGGTCGAAACTTTTACCTGATATGTTGGTCGTATATTTGAAGTTTTATTGGAATGTTTTATGTATAAATTAATCAAATGTCATTGCTTTTTTCCAGGGCCAAACTCCGCACAGCGTCGACGTGGTCGCCAGACATACAGCCGATACCAAACTCTGGAACTTGAGAAAGAATTTCAGTTCAATCACTACCTTACAAGAAAACGGAGGATAGAGATTGCGCATGCGCTATGCCTCACGGAAAGACAGATAAAAATATGGTTTCAGAACAGACGAATGAAATTGAAGAAGGAAAAACTCGCAATAAAAGAAATGAACGAAGGTGGAAAAAAATTCGAAAGTATGTCAGACGATGTAAGTGACGATCCTGGCAATGAAAATTCAAGGTGAAATTGCTAACCGTTCAGGTGTAAGCTGCCATTTTAAACGGGTAAAAACACGATAGACGACTTCAGGTCTACGCTCATGAAGAGCCTGCGAACTAACTGAAGATCATCTACTGCAGATTTCATTGCGACAGTGTGAACACGGGTATTATATTGAGGAGATATTTTCAAGTTCGTTTCCTACAAAGTGTTAATCACTAGATACCTCATAGGTTCTGTTGAAACTGAAAATCCAAAGATGAAACTTTGCCGTGATAGAACCAAAATCTCACCGGATATGACGTAACTGTGTACACCGAAACTGCTGACGTCATGTGTTGGTGTCAATATCAGTCGTCAAATATGCCTTTGTGTTGCAGTAGAGGACATTAGCAGGGAGGAACTGATGCCAAACGTCATGACGTCATAAATGACGTCACCATGAGATTTGGGATTTTTTGTTGTAGTATGACAATCACAAACTATAGATGTCCGTTAACCCCAAACAGATATGTCAACTAGTGCGAACCCTGGATTTGGTTCTTCAAATGCCAGGGTTTAAGAGACAAAACGAGAAATATTGCCATTTGTTCATGCTGAATGAACGATAGAACCTCCATGTTGCCATTCAGTCGTGTATGTTTGTTTATCTATAATTCCTCTGCGTACATTTCTTCGTATCCTTTTATTAAATTCATTTAAAGGCTTCGGAAACAAGTTACCATTGGTTTGAGCTCGTATAGTAAACAATCCTTGGTTGTACTTTAGCAATAGCTGGCAATATAGTTACATAAACCACGCTGAAACCGACTGCCTGTAATAAACACCATATTCATATGTTATATCTTATTGTGAAGATATTTCCATGACAAATCATCTTTATTTATTTTTCTCAAACCACAGACTGATTCTACCAAGGTTATGAAATGATTCAAAATGAAAGGGACAATAACGAATTATAGTCAATCACCGTTCTGTTGTAATTTGATTTGTCGAACATTCGGCTGTCTCCAAGTTGTTCATGTCGAATAGTGTCAATCACTGGATTGTCTGGCCCAGATTCGATTGTGCTGCTGAAATGCAACTGAATGCTGCCTCAAACAAACACATGTTCATGATATGGTCAAAATTGTAAAACAATTCCTATGGTAATGGTTTTGCTGTTTCTATATAGAACTCGGATAACTCGAAGCAATCACTTAGGTCATTTCATCTTCGACAAAACGGTGTCTGACTGTACATGTATATTTGTGTAAATCGGAACATACCGATGTCCCGTTTCACTACTCAATGTTATATATACGGACAACAGGGCTCTTCATATGTTAGTAAATGTCCAATGTTAATTATCACCATCGTATATAACTGGCCTCTCTGTTGACAATGTCTGTGCAATCTAAATGAACGTATTATGTAGTAACATGTTTTATTCCAAATAATATATTTAATGAAATGAGTGCCATTTAAAGACCAGACTTCAATTGCTCAAAGACATATTTTGTTCAAAAGTAGATTTAGTCGGAACTGATTGACAATTTGGGTCAGTATAAAATTAGATTTAGCTTTTTTGCACATAGGTGAGATGAATCGGTTCAGTTATACCATACGAGGAGTGTGCATGAACTTCAAACTTTGTCATCATCATTTGCATAGAGCATAAAAATTATAATTGTGATCACCCGACCATGCGAAACGAATAAGAAAGTATTTGGATTATTGGGTAAATATAACGAGAATATGTGGAATAACACGTGAATTTTATAAAATGTTTTGTTGTATATGTCCTGGAGAACACAAAGAAACCTATTTAATACAAGCGGACGCTTGGTTCGCTGTTTCAAAACGAGAAGGTCATAAAGGGGAACAACTCCTTCAGGTACAAATCAAGGGAAATCACTCCAACGAGAATTCTTTCTGAACAAGACGAGAATATTTGTAGTGCATGTCTGTTTTTATCGGTTCAGTGTAAACAACTGGAAATTGTATTCTTATTTTTTGTTAATGCATCTGATATTTTGACATATTCCCTTGCTATATCTTTGTTACGTAAGCTGTCTTAAACGAGAAAATGTCACTGTGGCTTCATGTCAGTATTGTGAATGTTTAATGTTTACTTTACCTCAAATAAAACAAATTTGACAATAGCTCTAACGTCTGTGATTCTTTGGTTTGGCTTTACCCATGGTTTCATAATGATTGTTTATATTGCTAAGACTTGATTATCATGCTGCATAACATATTGCTTGGTTTACTGAAGCCAGATGCAAACGAGCGTACCATTTAAGTGTGTGTATGCGTGTGAGTGTGAGTGTGTGTGTGTGTGTGTGTGTGTGTGTGTGTGTGTGTGTGTTGTAATATAACCGATCGCTTATGTACACCTAAAGACGAGCACATATACCATATTCCACATATATTTGAAACAACATTGGATATTCACAATGGATAGAATTTTAAAAGATTACTGTTCGTGTGTAATCAAATAAGTTTATAAAAACAGACATAGGAAGGCCCTTTGAAATTTCCTCCGCGTGAATCCAATTCATATATTAAACGGAAGCAGCTGAAAAAGGAACACATTTTAATTTTATTTTACAAAGAAGAAGATTAAATCGGTGTATGCATTGTACAATTCAGAAGTAGCTAGACGATGTTTAATATTTGTTTGTATTAATTAAGTGTATGCTCTTGTCCAAAATGCCTCGATAACGCGTCAGATGGAATAACTGTAAAAGATATAGTTGGTGTGAATTTAATTAGTAACTATATACATGTGCCCTTATTTTCTCTCACAACTAACAACGGAATATAAATTGAGAAATCACAATAGTTTTTAATCTATTTCCACCAGATATGAATTTATAAATGAAAGTCTGCAGATGCAGACATTTTACTTGAGGATGCCCCGGCTTAAGAAAGACAAACTCGCCCTTTGGTTTATTTCTATGAAAAAGAGAATTGACTAAAGTGATATTAATTTTGAACGGTTCCTAACAGTATTGAAAAGTATTATAACGTGCATACGAGTATATTAAAAAAAACTTTTATGACGTTAGAAGACAGACATTAATATAATCCCGAAGACTGTTTATTTTACAGCGAATGATGTATTTTTTGCTACATTCTGCCAGAGAAGATAATGGATAAACGTATAGGCATTAAGAGCTGATCTGATTTACTTGAGAGTTTACGGATGTTGAATTTGACAGTTTATCCTTTGAAAATGTTTCTGATTCTGCATATTCCAGAATGGTGTGTCATATTTACTAGAATCTAATCACAGAAGTCGTTTTGAAAAGTATCAAAATTTAAAATATTTTCGCATTATTGTGTATTTCTGTAACACGAAAATTTGAATGAATGTATGCATTCTAGCAGTATCGAACAGTTGCTCATGAAATCAAGTCCACAAATGTCCATTTAATCATTAATCAAAATGGTGAAAATCGGAAAACATTCCATTAACTGAATGGTTCTAATGAGTAAAATATTCCAGCACATATGACTGAATTTTTGTCAACACCAACATGAATATCAATTTCATAGATAAATTACAATTCATCATCAACGTTCCAAAATGTAAACCCCCCAACCCCCAAACCCCACCCACACTCTCACACGCACACGTGTAAACTGGAATTTGATATGGTAAAACATATTCATTGAGCTATTGGTTTCTCGGAGGATATAACAATGAATATCCATATGAAAGACCGCGTGAATTCCCCTCTCAAACTGTCATAAACGAAAACAGATAGATATGGGGTATCATACGCATGTCGCTTTCACAAGGAGTTGAATATCGATCATTTATATTCCTTCTGCATCTTTCATCCTTTTCACATGCCAATCAAACCTGTTGCTTTGGAGACAGATATACATTGCTAATGTCCACTTAATGGCATGACCACTAGAATCAATGGTCAACTTGGCTTGACCCTGTTTGCCATATGTGACTCGCCTAATGGAGGAGAATGCATGGACCCAATTTCTTTGGAGCATCTGTGAAAATGTGATGCTCGATTTCTCGTGAATACAAGCATGATGGTCCTTTTACATGGCAGTAATTTGTTTACAGGACAGCGAAGTAGCGGAGTAAGATCTTATATACATATAGAGAGATCAGCCATCATGAAATATTGGAATCACGAAGAATAGTTGTCAGCTTGGCACGACAGTGATTGTTGGTAACGAGATATGGAATAATGGCATGACTTAGCATAAACTTTTATAGGAAACTATGTATATGACTGATGTTGAATTGTTTAAGAAATGTGAAATAGCAAGAAAATTATAACCGGTGAATCACTTTTAGCGAACGCTGAATCAGCATCACCATTTGATTTCGATTCATATACACATGCACATAGTCAGAGGGGATTGTGCTTTCAGAAGAAATGTCTTCATGGTGTCGTCACTGATTTTTAATGATTCATTCATATTATTTTCGCTATTATTTTCCATTTTCGTCCAATGTAATCTGTTTCGAATTAAGATAATTTAAGATAATTAAGACTGTTTATTCCCAAGCGTTGGCGTTTTTATATTTATGATTAGTAAAAGGGTTTAGATGCGTTCATTTGAATCACCGGTGTAAATAGTTGACTATCAGATCCACATGGATGAAATTAAACAACCGTTATTGTTTGGCGTTATTGTCATATCCTTTCGCAACAGTAGATTAAACGAGCTGAGTTTTAAATAACTTCGAATGAAAGAGCGGTTGGGTTTAACGCCGCCATGAACAAAAATCCAGTTATATTACGGTGTGTTAGCTTGACGTGGGAGGAAAACCCGGAGTAATGTAAGACCTTTACAACTTTGTTGGCAAACCTAGAAATAGGATCAATCATCGTGAACCTGGAATCGAACCCAAGACTACAGGGTTCTCCATTTGTTTTTCAGAAGAAAATTCACATTGATTTGGATGTTTGCTACTTGGGTGAAACAAGGTTCTGGTATTGTGAAACTACACCAAGAAATATAGTTGAGGTATAAATGTTGTTTGCAAACCCACAACCATAAGGCAAACGGCATACTTAACTGACGGACCGCTATTTCCCCCATAACATACTATTAATAAATGAACGACTATTTAGCAATCGGAAAGGAAATCCTTGTGAGAGACGTCGTATTTCGGGATAACGTGCCAGACCAATGTGTAATTGCTTTTATAAAACATGAGAAAAAGCTTTATTTCAAACTTTCCAGGAACATTATTTCCGCAGAAATATTCGTACCCCAAAACCAAACACTTAAACAAAACTATACCTATTCCTATGTTCATAATTATAAGTCATCCTATACTATAATGTTGAGCATAGGTAAAGATTAACCCTGTCACTACACACACATAACCCCCGACCCCCAAACACACACCCTACCGTCCCTCGACCATCCGCTGAAGCAGGTAAAAGGCAGATTGACAACATCGCATTGTACCCTGTGACATAACGTAAATGAGAGTACAAATATGTTTGAACTTAAATTGGATTAAACATCATTGTAACCTTTAATACGATCACCATCAGACTTGAAAGTTAACCACTGGACTTTTGACCAACACGTATAAAATTTCAATTACTGTGTCGCCATGTGAGACCAAATGTCCAATACCAGACTCTGATTGCAATGGCTTTAACGATACCTTGGGGTAAGGTTTTACAGCCCCATATCCCAGTTAGGATGCCATCATGATCTATTGTCCTTGTATTTCGTTCCGGACAGCAGATTCTAATACACAGAACACCATTAAAGGGTCAAATTGTCCACTCCAAAGCCAAGCCTGTTATTACCATTGTGATCAAATTAACCAGATGCCAAATTTAAGTGGTGTCGGCAGCGACTCGCCTTCCGCTTAACTACCACCCTAGGAGATTATGAACTGAAAACGATACATCGGCTAACCAGTCGCCCTAATAACCGCACCCCAGTACGCACCACCCCCTCAGAGTTGTGGGGTAAGGTTGTAGTTTATTTGACTGCTACGTTAGCAAGATTCAACCAGTCAAATAGGATTAACTTACGAAACGTGTGCTTCAACGGCGAATGTTACACATGGCTCATTCTATTTTGTACGAATGTACTCTTTGAAGGATTTATTGCTTAGGGATATTAGTGTCTTTAACAGAACAGAAACCTATGTATTGATACATATCCTAAAATAGTTTAGATATTCGATTTAGTTTTCTTAATATTAATTTATAATTATATTTGTCGTGCCATAATCTGACGACGCATAACTGGACAAATAGCAAAAGAATGGAATCATTTGTGGACTGTGTGTGTTGATATCGATATTGTGATGCTGTTCCGTTCCATTATAAGCAAGTATGTTAAGAAGCTTGCTGTGCCGGTTGGGGTATGTGCACAAATGGGGCGAATCAGCGTCCCAGCAGGACACTGGAGTCTATACCAGTGATTGAGGAAACCCTTCAATTTCCGACACCAATAATCAAATTTTATTGTTTTGATTTGGGGGAATCGTTAGACATTGTAACTAATGATGTCCAACCCGGCATGTGATATTTAGCTAACAAGCAATATAAAGACAAATGTATAATTTCAATTAGCTCTGGTTTTATTGACCAATAACATGCAAGAATTGCCTAACTGACTCAATGCAGAGTTATTCCAGTCTATTCCCTGATTGTCTGGTTGTGGTTGGTCGCAATTTTCATGAGTGGTTCTTGATGGGAAGTGGTTGGGAAATACAGCGGGAGCGAGCCATATTGTTTTTGTGTTTTTCTGTTTTTGAGGGTAGATGGTTTTGGGTTGGTCAAACAGAAAGACAAAAATATAATATTCAAAACTTTATTTTAACCAGTATTACTTTCTATATGATGATTATCAAAACCTTTATCAGCATTTTGAGCAAGAAGATTCTCTTTGTGCATGTGCAACTTCAATGAAGATGTTGGTCGTCATCATCCTTTGAAAACTGTACATCTTTATTCTTCAAGACTTGTGATATTAGCATCAGCAACTTTTCTATTGTGAATGAAGTGATTTATTTATTTCCTCTATATGTAACCTATTATCACTGAAGGCTTTTCGAACACTGCCCAGGTGGTATTAACAAAGATCACCCACATTGTCACCAGCAAGGAACGGAACCTATATCTGATTAAGCAATACCTATATCACC